GGCAGCTATCCTGCCCTAGATGGCCACTTTCCTGTGCCTAGTGCGGAGGTCGTGGATGAGGTCCACGATGTCTGCACTAGACCAGGCGGGCGCCCACCTCTTGTGGCCCCGGGCAGGCTCCTGGGGGCCGCCAGCCTGGTCCCGGGAAGAGGCGGAGGGCTGGGTGGCAGCGGGTGGCTGGCTTGTGCTGTGCCAGGTGCAGGGTCTGCTGGCTGGGTGCTGGCAGGCTTGCACCTGGCACAGGCACCGTAGCCAGACCGTGCCCCTTGAAGGGGCTCCGGGGCCGGGAGGGGGGCAGAAGAGTTTCCCTGGTGGTGCCAAGAGTGGCCACCAGGGAAAGCTGGGGAGGGATAGCCTCCCACTAGTTCGAATTAAGTGGATACACAGCCCTTAATTCGAACTACTTAATTCAAACTAGGCGTTAGTCCTCGTGGAATGAGGTTTACCTAATTCGAATTAAGTGCTCCGTTAGTTCGAATTAAGTTCGAATTAGCGGTTTGCCTGTGTAGCGCCTATCAAAGTTAATTCGAACTAACATCTGTTAGTTCGAATTAACTTTGTAGTGTAGACATACCCCAAGAGATTAAAAAAATAAAACAAAGTAAACTAAATGGATACACTTATAACTGGAGAGGAAAATAAATGAGATTGAGAGCAAACAAACTCCTGGTTCACAAATCTGATGTCACTAAACATATCTACTGGGTTGTCTCCATCTGCTGGCAAGGAGGTACCATGGCTAATAATCTCTCAAATACAGAGAAACGGTTGTTTTTCTATGTTTCTGCAAAAATAACAGCTATCCCTCCCTTTCTAATCTTTAATACCCAGCCAATTACAGTAAACTTCCAATAATCCGGCACTTTTAGGGGTGAAGGATTATCAAATATGCCGGACTATAGGAAGGGGTCAGGGGTGGAGTGGGGGGGGATGCGCCCCTCGGCGCTGCAGGACCAACCCGGCAGCACCCCAGCTGCTCTGCCTCAGTCTTCCCCCAGTCAGCCGCTGCTGAAACTGACCAGCGGCTGACTTCGGGAAGCCCGGATTAAGCACTGGAATAAATTGCTTTAGGAGGTACAGTAAACTTCCGATAATCGGGCACCTTTAGGACCCAGGGGGAGCAAGATTATGAGATATGCCGGACTATTGGAAGCAGGGCCTATGAGGAGTCTAGGGCGGGGTTGGGCTAACCCGGCAGCATCCCAACGTCTCTGCCCCGGGTTTCCCCGAGTCAGCTGCTGGTCAGTTTCAGCAGTGGCTGAATCGGGGAAGCCTGGGGCAGAGCAGCTCCAATTGTCCGGCTGCTCGGAGCACTTCTGGGTTCCAGATGGTGCCGGACCATCAGAAGTGCCGTACCATTGGATGCCAGACCACTGGAGTTTTACTGTACTAGTTTAAAATGGTATTTTCCTGCCTGGATTGCCGTAAGATTCCATCATATAAAGATACCTTAAAAAGCCAATATGTTTCTAATTACACCTCTTACACACCAAGTAAAAAAGATGCCAATGCTACTGCCAGACATTATTTATATTAAAATCCATATTGTCAACTCTCATTTTTCAGCAAAATTTTTATTGCTGTGTCCTGTACTGTGGAGTTATATATTTTATATTATAAATAACAAAAACCCACTGACTTTAAAAAGGAAACATACAGCACTATACCTATTACATGCAATTACTATAAATATTTTTTTTATTTATGCAGCGTTTCACACTGTACGCACCTTACATTAGTTTCAGTTTCCTAATTCATTTCAGTCATGTCCTATCATTCCCCATTCTGAAAACCATCACCATCTATTTGAGATGCCAAGGAGACAGGAATTTCTTACAACAGACCTTATTATTTATCCTGCATAAATACAGTACTTGCTCTTATTGTCAGTGCATAGTAATGTCAATATATCAACTACCAGTGGCACAACCATAGCACACACAGTATTTCTAGATAAGCTCTTCAGGTGGGGGGATGGGCTCAATTTTGTTCAAATGCAGTTAGCAGTGTTGTTAGCTACTATTTTATTCCACTTCATCTCTTTCCACTAATTTATCTGCCTCCTAATCTTCTATGTCCCACCCCACTTTTCTGACTCATTTATACCTTCCCTTCATGCTCTCCCTCAGATTCCTCATTTGCATGGACCCTCCCGCCATATTTTCTCATCCTTTTCACTCAGTCTTTTAACTCTTGATTCTGTCTCAAGACTTCGCACTCCTTCCTATGCTCCACATTCCCCTGCACATGCACACATTTTCTCCTTCTTGCCCTCTCTGTCCTTGCAAATTCACCTGATCCTCATAGAGTTCCTCTCTGTCTCCAAACCACACAAATGGGTATCATCTTCCCCAATGTAAGCTTGGCTTACTTCAGTATGGGAAAAATGGAAGACAATGGTCATCTTTGCTATAAAAGCAGCCTACAATTTCTCCTGAACAGGTTGTGTAGGCATTTTATGGCTTTTGTTTCTCTGGA